GCTGCTGCTGCTTCTGTTCTTCCCTTCTCCATTTTCTCCAATATGAGGCCTGGAGAGCAGAGAGGAGATAAGAAGGACTGCAGGGGACCTTGAGAATTAGGGTTTCATTAGCAGGCTGATGTTGAAGTTGGAATATTCAAGGGGAAGCGTATGAAAGAAAGGGAAACGCAATCGCTAGACTTTCATCGCATCACCTGTATAGCCGTCAGGAAGGGTGAGGCGCCTTCCCAAAAGCCTCCTGCCTCTAAACGCGGCTTCCAACGGTACTGTGCCATCCGTCATAGTCACATCTGTGAAGATGCCAGCAAGGTCGGAGGGGATGGTCAGAATGTTGAGCTATAGCGAATCGTGTGAAACTTCGAATAAAGCCACCAGAACAAAGTGGAGCCGCCGCTAAAAAATCAAGGTAAGAATGTCCCACCCTTGGCCTCGATTGGACGGAAAAAACGCGACACGGCAGCTGGTCCGTTGTGCTCAATGCAGCAGGGCAGAAGATGCACGTCAACGCCAACTTCTGGCTCAGAAACTGACGTCTGACAGTCTCGAGGCTGAGAGGTGCCGCTGATCACCCTAATTTCGTCGGTTATGTCCATCGCTGGCGGAAAGTAGACGAACGAAGCGGAGCGCCAACACAGTGCGCTTATGGTCTGATCGACAATGAGTTGCGACTTGGGAAGGAGATGAGTACATGCGGATCCCAAGGAAGCGTAAGTTGTGGGATTTCCCTGACTGCACTGGCATCTCGGACAGGTGGGTAACCAGATAACGTGCGCGGACTCTCACGGACACTTGTGGCGAAAGTTCCTGCTATTTTTAGCTATTCATTAAATACAGGTGGTTACGAAGACCTGGTTTCACTACTGAATGTGGTGAAGCTTTTAGCGGAGCATGTCAATGTTGTCATCTCTCCCTGAGAAATTTTGCTGTTGTCCGTCAAACGTCGCTGCAGAACAGAACCTTCGCTGTATGGAGAGTGATGATTGGTTATGAACCACGTCACAGATGGAACGCGGGAGGTGAGGATCTTTTGCTGATTTGGCGAGGAGGGCACGTCAAATGCTTTTAGATGATCCTCCAAATAAAACCGGTTTTCAGCCTGAGGTACTGTCTGTATCCTCTCAAGCCAAGCCAAGCCCTGAAGCAGGCTAAAGAACAGTTCTTTCGGGCATCGGAATGTCGAAGCTGTCATTTACTGACTAGCAAAATGTGAATCTATTCTTAACCTTGAAACTACAGTACTGCTGCTGTAACGAATAAGTTCCGGTGGAGAAGCGAAAGCTCAAGCTGAATGATGGAAGCAAGTTGGCTGATGCTACTATATGTGTTATTTTATTTGAGATTTGTGGGTGCTTCGAGACAGTATTACATGTGTGGAAGCACCTTCCGGAAAGTCACTGTAGCTGTCCATCTCAGCGCACGAACGGTACACAGTGGATGGAACCAGATAGAGTAACAAATTTACAAGCCTGGATGTAGTTCGTGTAGATCCAGTCCAGATGTCTTTCACGCTGCATTTGCGGGCGTGGTGGCCAATGAACTGGCGTACGCGGGCATCCCGTTCGAACACAATGAGACGCGTCATGAGCAATGCAATAATAAGGATACGATTGTACGATGCCTGACTCGATCTCCCGCTGCCTTATGAACAAGTATGGACCGTAGGATCTCCATCGTGTCGCCACATCGCTTCAGTTTCATCGCTTGCCACATAAGATCCAGCGCTGTGCTGACCCACGTGGCAGGACTCATCAACGTGGGAGAATCCTCGCACATGGGACCCTCGTGCGCGTCTCAGGTCGAGCCGCCGAATGCTGATCCAATTCCTCACCAAAATTCGAATCTCACATTCTTGGTAGGTTTAGGGGCGGACGCGGGCAGAGCACGGCCGCTAGGGGAAAGTCGCGTTTGTTGGTTGGGGACAGGCTTGCACGCAGCCAAAGAAACCGACAACATGTACGACGGGAGCCATTGCCATCTGATTTGACCTCAGCGTCGCCGAAGAGTCCTCGTGAGAATCCTTCGCTTCTTCAACAGCATGCAGTCGACGCGTCCTCTAGCTCGTCCCCTCGTTGGGTTCCACGGCGCTGCTTTGTGTTCTTATACTACAGGGACGGAATAATTCTTCATCATTGACAGGCCTTGCATCCACTTCCTTGTCATCTACTTCGGTCTTTTGTCCACTCAGACCAGTTAATCGGTGTCTCATAATAGTTTATCTTCCCTCGAATCTATAAAAAAACGCTTGGGTTAAACCACCTCGACGTAGAAATATCATAGGTCGATCGTCACCACATAATCCTCGAGGGATTCTTCAACAGTCTGTCAGTCTGCGAAATCCGTGGGTCCACCTATGGAGGGTACGGATCCTGCGTTCTTGCTACCGCACATTCAGAACCGGGGAGGTCCGCAAAACGCGCTTTACAGGTTCCGCGGAGTGCGCCAGCGCACGTGGGGGCGGTGGGTGGCGGAAATCCGCGACCCGGAGCGCAAGGTGCGCCAGTGGCTGGGCTCGTTCGCGACGGCGGAGGAGGCCGCGCGCGCGTACGACGAGGCGGCGCTGAAGCTTTACGGACCCGACGCGCACCTCAACTTCCCCCCGCCGCGGGAAAGCAATCCCGCGAATCGCGCGCAGCGTCACGCCGCGGCGGAGCCGGATCTGGACGTCGCTCGGGAGAATTTCGACAGAGAAATTACCAAGGCTCGTCTTTCAGGTTTGATTGGATCTGACGGTTTCGCATGCGTCATGCCAGGGTTGACGACGACAGGGTTGGCCGGATTGACTGGATTGACTGGATTAGCAGGCCTAAACGGGTTTCAGAACCACGGAAGGTCACCAGGGTTGACCGGATTGACTGGATTGACTGAATTAGAAGGCATAAACGGGTTTCAGAGCCACGGAGCGTCACCTCATTGTGCCGTATCGGACAGCACATGGCGCCAGTTATCACCGGGGGCGCGGACAGCGCTGGCGCGCATCAGCCAAGGCAATCAATTCGGTCACCAATACGGTGTTGGCGCCGCTACTAGCAGTGATGGTGGTGGCGCGGCCATTAACGGCGTCAGCCACGGTGGCGGAGCTCGGGTTAGTTCTGAGGGAGGTGTGATTCAACTGCCGGTTCAAGGAGCGGCGGGTCACTTAATCCATCCACTCGGGACGACAATGGCCATGGCCATGGCTCCTCGCTCAGCCAGCGTGCCGAGCGGCAGCGCGACGAGCTTCACGGAACCCGCGAGTCCCAGGCGAGTGGGCGTGGAGCTCCCGTTAGAGAAGGCCCACAGCCTCGACGCGCTCCCCTCGTTCCAATCACAGTCGCCCAGCGTGGGATTCCAACGGGCGGTCACGGATCGTGGCGCGAGACTGGCTGGGGATGGTTCACAGCAAGAAGAGGTGAAGTGGCAGCGGTACCAGCGGAAGCGGAGAGCAGTGGCGGAGGAGCAGAGGGAGATGAGGGAGCTGGAGGACCTGTTGGATAAGTACAAGCGGCGGCAGCAGGTGCGGCAGCTGCTGTCCGAGGCTGATATCGTCCATCAGCGGGAGATGCTTCTGACAGGCCCGGAGGTGCAACCCGTGATGCAGCAGCAGCAGCAGCAGCAGCAGCAGCAGCAGCAGCAGCAGCAGCAGCTAGCCCCGCAGCCTGGTCCTGGGGCCACTCGCGAAGGTGCAATCATCAGAAGTGCTGCTAACGCCAGGTTCTCTGGTAGAGCAGCAGGTGACGGCCTTCTGGGGAACGAAAATGAGCTCCTAGCAAAGGGTTTGGTGAGCAGCAAAGACATCGCCAGGTTCATCCTGGACCAGAACCTGTCATCGGGTGGTGTAGCGTCAAATGCAGGCCCTTCCACTGTCCCACCCACAGTTCCCGGAACTGCACCGATGGTGCACACGGATCGAACTGGTGTGTCAGATGAGTCGCCCCTTGTGTCACATAAGTTTAGAGATGTGAGCAGGTTGCTGCAAGTGACAGACTGCCACCTGGCTTCGGCGATTGCCACTGGTGGCTTAAACAGTGAAGGCCATGAAGCTGTGCGTGGCCATGGGTACAGAACTGGTGCTGGAGCACCAGGGGGGGATCTAGCTACAGGCTTTGCAGCTGACCAACCACAGGCTCGTCAGACCCCAGGGCTTCCAAGCATGAACACTGCAGGACACACACAGGATCTTCGAAGAGGTGCTGTTTCTTCGTTTATGGGTGAGCCGATGGTGGGAATTCGTAACAGTGTGAATGGTTTGCCATGCACAGGTCAAAGTAGAGGAGATAACATGATGGAGATTCCAGTAGATGGTGTTGGTTCTCTTGGGATTTCTCCCGAAATGGAGGCCATTTCAGGTCTCATTGGTGAAGAGGCTGCTCAGATTCTGCTCCAGGAGCTCCTGTGCAAAGGAGACATTGCAGTAGGCAATAGCCAGTGGGGCATTTGAGTAGAATAGGAATTATATATGAGTGGTGCTTACGTGGACCACAACATGTAGCTCACGTAAAATTGATTTGAATGGTATTATTAGTATTTTTTATATGAGCTGCATTTTCCTGATTCGAAGTCCTACGTGGCAAAATCGTGTATTCTAGAAGGGCGAGACAGACGGTTCGCGAATTTCTCAAGCGGACTGTGTACCGACGTCTTGCTCTGTGTCAGGTTTCGCGAATCTCAGGGCATGCAGGTGGTTCTCGTGCACTCGTCACCATATTCCATCGCCCAGTATGCTCTGACCAGAGCTCTGTAGCGCATATTACCGTCTAATACCGTGATGAAACTTACGTCGGAGCCAGATCCCTCAACTTTCGCAAATCTCTAGGGAAGAAACACAACATTGCTTGGAGGAGTTCCTCGATCGACGCTGTTTATTTCCAGATCCTCGTCATTCATCCGTTCTCATATTTTCCAGGTGAATCGTCGCGTCTCCTCCACCACCACTCACTCCCGATCACCTTTTGGCTTCGCCAGAACGTCCATTCCTCCTAAATCTCGTATCGATCTCGTCCAGTTTCGCAACACTCGCCTCCATGGCAAAGTACGGCGAGGGCGACAACCGTTGGATCGTGCAGGATCGAGCGGACGGCGCGAACGTGCACAACTGGCACTGGGCGGAGAAGGACTGCATGGAATGGTCGCGGCGGCGCCTGGGGGAGCTGATTGGCGGGCTGACGGTGCTGGAAGGGGAAGGCGGGTGCTGGATCCGCACGGGAGCGATTGAAAAGGTGGATGGCGAGGCGTACGTGAACATTCGGAAGGGGAAGATCATTCCCGGGTGAGCTGAGCTTTCAGTCAGGTTTTTCTGTACTGGGGTGGTGGAGGCCTGATCAGCACAAGCACTGTCGAGCAGGTCGTTGATGAGGCTATGATGATGTTTGAGGCGCCTCATAACTTGTCTTCAGTTTCTGATCTTGGTCAGGTTTTGAAGGAAATCCTGAAAAATGCAGGCGTATTTCGGGATTGCTCGAAACTTCCGTTGAATATCATGGCGCAGCATGCCCTCAGCTAGAACCGAGTTCCACCAGGAACCCTACTTTTTCCCTTCCCCATCCCCCCTTCTCCCTAACCCACTCCCCCTCCCGACTATTAGCTATGAGCCTGACGAACCCTATCTTTCAATTCTCCCGTCAGCTTCCCTCCTCTCACACCTCCTCCGCCAACCAGCGACTAGCCTAACAAACTCTACCTTTGCCTTTTCCCGTAATCCCCCGTCCCCATTAACCAATCAGCTACGAGCTTCACGTCCGTCTCGGCTGGGAGGGCGAGGTCAAGGACTCCGCCGACGCTCAGCCCGTCGCGTCCGTTAAAGGCTTCGTGGAACTGCCTTATATCGCGGACGAGAACCACGACGAGGATCCCGAGGTGAAGATTGCCCTGGCCACGGAATCCGCGGAAGGAAACGGTGGAGGGTCGGCAGCAGCCAATAGGCTGCGAGATGCGATGCTGGCGCGAGGCAAGCCGCTTATTCTGGAGAGAATCCGCACGTTCGTTAAAGACATCCAGGCTGGTGGTCCCGCCAGGGACGAGTTAGAAAAGGCTAAGGTAGTGAAACCAGCAGCGGCGGCGTCAACAGCAGCACCAGCAGCAGCGCCTGCAGCATCAGGAGCAGGAGCAGCAGCAGCAGCAGCGGCGGCAGGAGCAGGGTCTGCGCCTGCTGCTGCTAAAACCACCGCGAGCACAGCCCCAACCAGCAAGAGCAAGAAAGAGAGCAGCAGCAGCAGCGGAGCTGGGAAGAAGTCGATTGCCATCACCCAGAGGTTCCACTGCCGGCCGTCGGATCTGTACGAGACGCTGATGGATGAGAAGCGGTGGATGGCTTTCACTCAGTCCAAGGCGAAACTGTCGCGGGACATAGGGGGTACCTTTTCGTTGTTTGATGGGTCCGTGACAGGTGTCAACCAGCGGTTGGACGAGAACAAGCTGATTATGCAAAAGTGGCGGTTCAGTAGCTGGCCCGATGGGCATTACTCCACGGTGAGTGTGGGCAATGGTATACAGTATTGGGCAACAGGGATGGGTGATGTGAGTGGTTAATAGGAGTGAGTGATAAGAGTTGGCGAGAGTAGTACTAGATGGCAGTTATGTGGCAGTAGTGGGTGATATTAGTAGTGGGTGTTTGTAGTTATGGGTGCATATGGTAGTGGGTCATTACGTCACAACCTTCACACTATCTGTTTCCAGACTTTTGTGCACTGGATGCTCAATTGTTGCGCATGTCTGTGCTCTCCTCCTCTAATTGGTGCAGGTGTGCATAACCTTTGAGGAGCCTCAAGTGGGTGACACCATTCTGCGGCTCACACAAACCAACGTGCCTGAAGAGGACAGGTGAGTGCCACAGCGACCAACATTTTTTTAACTGAAATAAAAGAAGCACACTGATGATTTGCGCTTGGAGTAATTTATGTGCTTTTTTGTCATCACTGGTCATCGTTCTGTGATCTTAGCTAATGATGATGATTTCATACGTTGCAGGTTTGGGAATGCCACGGTTTTTGAAACAACCGAACGTGGCTGGAGAGATCTCATTTTTGCTAGGATTCGTGCAGTTTTTGGTTTTGGGGCATAATATGAATTACTGAGTTTTTTAAGAAGTTGTTTCTTGTAGTTTTTTATGCTCGGGGACAGACATTTGTTGTGCCCAGCTGTGCCACTTCTAGTAGCTAGTTTCGTAGCGCGGACGTAATCTTCAGCTCCGGTTTCCACGATTCCCGTCAACACTTGACCGTCAATTCACTGGTGTTCAGTGAACACTGCTGAATTAAGTCAGGCGCATGTCAGTCAGGCAATCCCAAGCACCTACAGGCTGGGAGGCAAGTCTCGTGCACGAATATCCGCACCAGTCTCCCCGTCATTTCTTGAAGAATGCCAGATTCTGACCTCGGTAGTCAGCATTGAGGCAACCTCGAGGGGTCAATGCCTCAATGCTGGAATTTATAACCTCTGTCTGGAATTTACAAGCATTGGACTAGGATGGTAGCAATTTGGTGAGCGTCGAATTGTTGCGTGACCACGACTGGCTCCAGTAAAGGACTACTAAATAACTAACCACGATTGGCTGCCGCGTTATAGCATAGGTCTCACGTTGCCAATCAGGCTACTGCGTTGGGTTTTTCGGAAACAGGCGACAATGAGCTCAGTTAATTTCTATCTCTCGCGAATGAAAGGAGTGACGGAAACGCCGACTCCGGCAGCGAAAGTAGAATCGTCGCCACTGGACTCTTCAAGACCAACGGCCGCCTTAAAACCCGTGTCAGAAACAATAGTATCTTCGTCGCAGTCGCAGACTCGGGCTGATGATCCCAGAAAAGCGGTAACTGTGGAATCACAGTCAGCAGCAGAAGCAGTGACAGTCAGATTGCAAGGCTCTGCTGGAGACGTCGACGGCGACGTTAACAATGACGGATCCAAACGGCTATCGGTCAGAGAAATGAGAAATCGCTTCAACGCAACGAACGATCGGGTGCCATTAGCGCCAAAGGCGCCGATTCGGCCGAACACATCGATAGCTGTGGATTGGGTAACCAAGGGCGGGAAAAATGCCGTGCACCGGGGCGACTCGAAGTTCGTCCCTAGGCCTGGTGTGAAGGATGAGGGCTCTGTCGCTGCCACGTTAGCAACCAGGCCTCCAGCTGACAGCAAGAGTGCTGTTGCGGACCCTGCTGCTGCTGGCGCAAGTGAAAGTAACACTGGCGACAAAGTCAGCGGGGTCAGTGAGAGCAGCAGTAGTGCTGACAGCGACACGTGGGAGGCTCGGATTCGCGCGCTGGAAGAACAGCTAGAAAAAACGAACGTGGAAACTGCGTTCCTGAAAGCGCGGAACACGGAGCTGCAGGCTCGGCTGTTAGCTAAGGATAACGAGGTGCGCCCTCAAGTGGTGAAAACCAGACTGCCTGTCTCAACCGCAGCAGCAAAGTCAGCGGGAGAAGCGGAGATGAGAGGAGGAACGGGAGGGATTGGCGGTGTTGGCGTGGAAGGGAGAGGCAGCAGCAGTAGCGGGGGTTCTGTTGAGCAAAGCAGCAGTGGCAGCAAGAGCAGCAGCGGTGGGGATGCTGGTAAAAACGACAGCAGTAGCGGCAGAAGCAGTGGCGTCAGCGGTGACGAGGAGAGTGGGAGAGAGGACGCGGTGACAGGCAGAGGAGGGCAATGGAGTACTGTTGAGGATGGTGTTAGCAGCAGCGATCACAACAATAGTGGGATGCCGTTGGAGTTGCAGCTGGCAGCAGCTCACGCGAAGATAGCTGTACTGGAGGTGAGAGGCTGAGGGTTTCCCTGACAGCGGACAGGTAAGCACGTGGGATGCTCTTGCTAATGGTGGGGTTCAGAATTTTGTTTGTTCAGAAGCAGCTCATGCGAGGATAGCTGTACTGGAGGTGAGATGCTGAGAGCTTTGCTGGCAGCATCGCTGGCAGTGGATAGACAAGCATGTTTCGTCTTCCAACTTTTTTCTATCACCTAGAAGTGCATGGTAACATCGCCGCTGCTATGGCTTCCCTGCTATTGCGTCCCTTGCTGTCGCATCCCTTGCCGTTGCCGCTCTTTTCTCCAACATGCTGCTGATTTCGTCCCTGCTGCCTTCCCTCATGCATCTCTCTTGGTGATGCATTCGATCTACCTCTAACAGCCTCCTCAACCCCCACGCACCACCCTTCCTCTCCCCCACCCCACCCTCACTGCCCCCCACAATCCAGAGGCTACTCAAGGCCCGAGCCAATCAGTCTCCTCTCCCCCGCCTCCCCTCCGCCTCCTCCCCGTGGAAGCCCATCCCCCGCCCGCCCATGCCGTCCCCTGCCTCCCAAGCGCCTGCGCAATCCAAACCCTATGTTCTGAGCCGTGTAAAGCAAGAGCCTAGAGACAGCAGCGGTGGGCTACAGCACACGGGCGTGGTGCAGCACACGGGCGTGGTGCAGCATGAGGGGCGGAGAGACGAGGGCTTGTCCGTGAATTCGCAGTCAGGTCTGGGACGCCATGCCGGGATGAACACTGGGATGGGGAACGCGGCTGCTGAGGGGGGTATTGGAATGGGTACGGGAGTGATTAGTGGGGTGGATGCGGAGGTGGGTACAGAGGCGGTGGCGGAGGGAGGGGTGGTGCTGGTGGTGCGGCCGTGGGACAGTGAGGGCGTGGCACGGCTGCAGCAGGAGCTGGCAGAGGCAAAGGCGGTGCAGCAGGCAACAGCGGGGAAGCTCAAGGCGGTTGAGCAGCAGCTGGGAAGACTCTATGCCGTGCGAGAGGAGGTGAGCTTGGGCGTCAAGAAAGGGATCGGTAAGGTAAGCTGGCAGAGGCCCAGGCGTTGCAGCAGGCGTCAGTGGGGAAGATCAAGGCCATTGGGGGCCAGTAGGTGGGGCGACTGGCTGGCGTACGAGATGAGGTGCGGCACCAGGCACTGGGTTCAAGTACGTATGGCTATAGGGGGCAGGGTAGTCCCAATTTTTGAGGTGCCTCAAAAGTAGCTGCGGCACCAGGCACTGGGTTCAAGTAGGGCTATACAGGGCAGGGCAGTCTCAGTGCCTGCCATGCAGGCCTATGGTTGCATTTCACAGCTTTCTTTTGCACTTACTCTTCTGCTGCCTCTCCCCTTGTGTCTGCCTATTTCCGGTTGCTTGTCCATGTGTGCAGGGTTACCATGTAACACATGCGGTTCCTGTGCGGCATGTGTACACTCGCAGCTGGGTGTAGCTCGCCCCCTTGTATCCACATATGGTACTGTATTTGCAACTTGGGTTGTGTAAAGAGGACAATGCCTTCCAGATGTTTTGATTCACATGTTACAGCTTAACTTAAGGACCTTGCAGAATGGTTATTCTCTCTTCACTAAAAAGGACCTTGATGGACATCAATCTTCTCATCAGTGCCACATCTAACCAAACCAGTGCAAAAAGCCAGTAAAACAATAGTTTCAGTAACAGTGACTACACTACACCTTGCCCTCGTACTTGTAAGATTCGTCATAGCTTTGCTTCAAGCGGGCAAGAGCGGCCCTTCGGGAATGACCTGCAGGGGGATAATACGGTGAAGGGGAGGATAAAGGAGACACTAAGAAGGGACAGCACTTCATGGGGCCAGGAAGAAGGGAAAGACAGCAAGGGAGGAGGACACTCTATGGGATGTACAAGTGAGGCAGGAGATAATGGAAGGGTGGAGGGGAGGAGAAGGGGGGAGGAGTGGAGGAAAGGAGGGAGGGTACTGTCTGGATCCGAGCGCCATGCACAGGAACTTCAGGCCGTGACGTGCGGTGCGCACACATCCTTAAGTGCGAGGCACAGGCGTGGTAGCAGGCAAGGGACGGTTGGTGGGGATGATAGACGAGAGGAGGAGAGGGGAGGACAGAGGGGAGTGATAAAAGAGAGGATAGAAGCAAGTGAGGGTTCTGACCTGATATGGCAGGCATCGGTACGGCAGCAAGGGAAGGCTAGAAGATAGAAGGGAAGGGAGGGTTCTGACCTGATCCGAGCGCCATGTGCAGGAACTGCAGGTCGTGCGGTGCGCACACATCCATAAGCGCGAACGCCCCTGGCTCCAACGCTGCTTCCACAGTGCTGCGGGGTTGAATGCGGTGGAGTGGGGTGGATGGGAGAGGGTTGCTTGTGGTGATGGTATGAGGTGGTTGCTTGGATGGGGTGACATGGTGATGGGGTGATGTACTTTTGTGCTGATGTGCTTAGGTGGTGCTGTGCTTATGCAGTACTGTGCTGTCGCGCCGTCGCGCTGATGTGGTGTAACATATTCCTGTGCTCATAATGTTGATCCATGAGCAGACACATGACCCAGGAGTAGCAACAGCAGGAAAGCAAGACAAGCTCTGAATTCTCTAAAAAACACACCTGGGCAATCCGATAACCTGCTGCTGCTGTTGGTTGCTCTGCTGACCAACACCAGCTCCAGGGCTGATGGGATCGAAGCTAGCAGTGGTGAAGGGCGACTGAAGCTGCTGGAGCAGAGCTGCTGCTGGAGTGGTGGGTGAGGCGGTGGCGACGGTGGCAGTGGTGGTGATGGCGATGATGTAGTCTGCCAATAGCAGCGGACAGATCTTGCTGAGCGTGGTACGCTGCTCCGATACCTGCCATGCAGATAGGAAAGGGATGGGAGAGATGTAAATAGGATGGTAGTGTCATGAATCTGGTCAGTTAGTGGCAGTGGTGGTGGTGGTGGTGGTGGTGGTGGTGGCGATGATGTAGTCTGCCAATAGCAACGAACAGATCTTGCTGAGCGTGGTACGCTGCTCCGATACCTGCCATGCAGATAGGAGAGGGATGGGAGAGATGTAAATAGGATGGTAGTGTCATGAATCTGGTCAGTTAGTGGCAGTGGTGGTGGTGGTGGTGGTGGCGATGATGTAGTCTGCCAATAGCAACGGACAGATCTTGCTGAGCGTGGTACGCTGCTCCGATACCTGGAGTGTGGAGAAGGGGAGGATGGAGGTGAAGTGAAATGAGGATGGGAGTGAAGTGAAATGAGGATGGGAGTGGTGGGTGTAGCGGTGGCTACGGTGTCAGTGGTGGTGATGGTGATGTTGCAGTCTGCCAATAGCAGCGGACAGATCTTGCTGAGAGTAGCGCGCTGCTCCGATTCCTGTTATGGAGAGGAGGAGAGGACGATAGAATAAGAGTAAAGTGAAACCAGTCGGAGAAGGATGGGAGTGACATGAAACTGGTCAGACGATATGGTCAGCAAGCAGCAGCGGGCAGATCTTGTTGAGCGTAGAGCGCTGCCGATACCTGTTATGGAGAGGAGGAGAGTAGGAGAAGAGGAGAGGAGGAGAGGAGGAGAGGAGTCAAATTATAACAGTAAGCGATGACAGGATGCCTTGTTCAATTGATCTTTTGTTCATTGACAGGATGGCAGGCAAGTGACAAGGAAGGGGAGGGAGTAAAAGCTTCTATCTTGAACAAGTGAGATTCCATTGTTGCCAAAAATGAGTAGGAGGGAAGGGACTCGCTTGCGATTGGCAGTGTGAGGGGGAAGCAATGAAGGAGAAAGCATCAACAGGAGCAGAGTGGGAGACGGGGTCTCGTGGCTGCCAATCACCACACAGAACCATACCATCACCACACAGAACCATACCATCACCACACAGAACCATACCATCACCACACAGAACCATACCATCACCACACAGAACCATACAATCACCGTACAATCGCCGGACAGCACCGCGTAGCACAGCACTGCATAGCACAGCACCGTATGCACTGACCTCATCATACACCCGTCTCAGCCACAGCGCACAGCTGGCAGCCGTGGCTTCATTATAGTCACAAGCGAGAGGCAGAGAAGAGAGGTTGGAGGAGAGAGTGGAGGAGGAGGCGAGTGCTTGCGAGGAGGACGATGGGGAGGGGGAGGAGAAGAAGGGGGAGAAGGGCGAGAGGAGGGTGAGCATGCAGCGGAGGGATTGAACGAGGAGCGCCATGCTGTATCGCACATAGCTGTTGCCATGCATGGCATGCAAGGGTGGGGTGGGGTGGGGAGCAAGGAAGGGAAGGAAGAAGACGCGATGAGGATGGGAATATCCCCGAGTGAGTGAGTAAGTGAGTGCATGAGCACTTTTTAGAGTGCATTACTATGTCGTCAAAATGCGTTGAAATAACGGTGTTGCTGTGAGTGTGCATCCTGCACGGCTCCTAGATGATGTCTATAAGCGACAAGTGCTGAGATGAAGCTCACAAGAGATAGAAGGGTAGGGAGGCTGCTGCATGCAAAACACTTCGAGATAGTACCGTAACACGTGCTGGTATGAGCAGCAATTCACACATACCGGCTCCTCTGACGAATGATAGCACAAAGCAGCTGGCAGAAACCAACAAACAACGCCGCCCGTTCGCCCAGGCCCATGCCAACGAGCGAATCAGGAGAAGCTGCAATGGAGGGCAGAATGAGGTTCGGGCAGGCGAGACCCAGGCTGACGTGGCCTGCCCGAAAAGGGAAAATTGCGCTCCGGGCAGCGAGAGTCGTGAGAGCTGACAGGCTGTGATGGCAGATGGTGAAAAAACTGGCAGGAGTAATGGAAGGAGCGGGTGAGAGGTTGAGCCAAGGAAAGAGTGAGGGAGCGAGTGCGGGTACCGAGGGCACGTGAAAGGCGGAGGAGTCGGAGGATGGATAGAGACTGGAGAGAGAAGAGAAGGGTGAGAGAGTGTGGGGGAGCGTGTGCAGGGGAGTGTGAGGGAGAGTGTGAGGGGGAGAGTGAGGGAGGGACTGAGAGTGTGTGTAGGAGGTAATGGCTTTGAAGAGTAGGGAGGCGAGGAGGGGCGAGCGGGCAGCAAGGAAGTGCAGCGACTGGCCGCTGGGGCAGCTGTGAATGAGCTTCTCTGCCAGCACTGCCACCGCATCCAACCCTATTGGACCGTTCTCCAATCCTGCTGAGCTGCCAAACTCCGTTGAGAGGTCCCCTTCTGCATGAGCAGCACTCCCCTTGATATACGTGCTTTGCCCGCTGGCCCCAGCCCTCGCCTGCAGCCTCGCCTCTCCTCTCTCCTCTCCCCTCTCGCCTCCCCTTTCCCCTTCTCCCAGCCCTGCCCACCCTCCTCCAGCGCCCCCCTCCACGTGCAAGGCGAGCTCGTGCCTGCAGGTGCGGAAGACCACTGCCACCCACCCGTGCCACGCCCACTGCACAAACTGCTTCAACGCCCCGTCTGTGGCTTGCACCAGCGACGCCACCACTTGCCGTGCTGCCTCTACTTCCGCTGCTGCTGATCCTGCAGAAAGTGACAGTGACTGTGACTGTAAGGAGAGGGCGGAGAGGAGCGCCAGGTGGACTCGCACGATTCGCCGGAAGGCGGAGGCGGGGGGGTGGGGAGATACGCAGCGAAGCATGCGCGTGCCAGCGACCTGTGTGAATTGCAGCACCGCCAGGAGGAGAGGCGCTGCAGAGCGCAGCACAGCTGGGACTGAGGCAGAACCACCACCTGCTTCTTTCGGTCCCGGTGCCGCCACTCCTGTGGACACTGCAGCAGCTGTAGCAGCTGTAGCAGCTGTGACAGCTGTGACAGCTGTGACAGCTGCGGCAGCTGCGGCAGCTGTGGCGAGTTCAGAAGAGGGCGTTGGAGGTGCCGCTTGGGCATCCACTCGCAGCAGCAGGGAGGCGTGGTGGAGAATGAAGAGGGCGGACGCAAGCCTGGGCTGCACGGCGCTCTCAACAAACGCACGCGACAGGACGTACCTCTTCTGTGCTTCTAGCTGCTCTCCTCCCACAACTCTCCGCTCCTCTTCCTCCTCCTCCTCCTCTTGCTCCTTCTCTTTCTCCTCCTCATGCTCCTCCCCTCCCTCCTCCTCTCCCTTCACCTGTGCACCCCGTTTTCCCCTCCTCTCTTTTCTTCTCCCAAGCCCGTTTCCTCCCTCTTGAGCCGACTGTGCCGCCTTCTCCATTCCACCTTCTCTGGGCGGTTCCTTATCCCCCTCGGTCATGACTAGGGCGCACCTGAGATGCAGCGCAGCAGCGGCAGCAGAGAACAGGTGGGCTGCTGTGACACAGTCGGATGCGCTTGTAAGGAGGCGACGGAGGGCGTGTTTCTGTGAGTCTGGAAGGTGGTAACTGCGTAACCAGCTCTCCTCCCACTCTGCACCTTCTCCTCTTCGTCCCACTTCTCCTGCTCCTCCTGCTGCTCCTCTCTCTGTCTTGGAAGGTGACTGGGGACGTTTGAGTCGACTCAAAGGTGACTGGGGACGTGGCTTCTTCCCCCGCTTGCTGGCACTTGCATCTCCATCCACTTCCATCTCATCCCCAGTCTCCTCCTCACTCTCCTCCTCACTCTCCTCACTCTCCTCACTCCCCTCACTCTCTTCCTCACTTTCTTCTTCACTCTCTTCCTCACCCTCCTCTTCTTCACTCTCTTCCTTACTGTCCTCACTCTCATTCTCCTCACCATCATCGTCCTCAGCCTCACTTTCCTCTTCCTCGCTCTCCTCTTTATCACTCACCTCCTCATCTTCCTCCACCCTATCCCCACCTATCCCCTTCACATCACCAATACCATCCCCATCACCACCAACATCCCCACCACGCACAGCATCCAAACCACCATCCTTAGCCACATCAAACCCCAGTCCATGCAGCGGCAGCCAATCCAAACCATCCTCCATGTATTCTCCTCCCACCTCCTTTTCCTCTCCTTCTCCTCCTCCCTCCTCTCTCCCCTTCTCACTCTCCCCCAGCATCCCCCTCAACGCCCCTTCAACAGCAGGCTCCAGGCAGCCAATTAGAGCACGCCACGTGGCAGGGATCTTACCACCCCATCGTGCCAGCAATGACCCTTCACTGCCCACCTCACCAACAGCTGTAGCCGAACCCACTGTAGCACGCGCTACAGCCGGTGCTGCTAACTCATCGCCAGCATGGCTCAATCCGTCTGCTACAGCTGCCATCTCCCACAGCGCTCCCGAGCTCACAGCCGCCGCTACAGCCGCTGCAGACGCCTCCGCAGCAGCAGCAGCAGCTGGTGCTACAGATGCTGGTGCTGCTGTTGCTACAGCTGTTACAGCTGATGCAGCAGCAGTAGGAGTGGGGTTGCAGCGGGGGACCCAGGCGAGGATCTCAACGGAGGAGATGAGAGCTGTGGCAGTCTCGGGATGGGAGCGAGACAGACGGGCGATGGCAGTATCCACATCTGTACCTGCACCATCCACACCATCCGCACCATCCACACCATCCGCACCATCCGCATCATCTGCATCATCCATAGCTTCTTCCCTCCCTTCTGAATTCTTGCCTTCCTCCTCGCCCCTCTCCTTGCTCCCCTCCTCCCCACCATCCATCATGACTGCATGCACTGCCATGCCCACTGCTGCTCCACTCGCCGCCACCATCGCTTCCCATGATTCCTCAACCCCCAATGCCTCCCCACCCCCCATGGCCACCCCAACCCATTCCATCGCTTCCCATGCCTCCCCATCCCCCATTCCTCCCCCATCTCGCACTGCCCCTCCACCCTCCCGCAATGCCCCCCCAGCCCATGCCATCTCCTCCCCTTTCCGTCCCTCCTGCTGTTCCCATCGCTTCACAGCACCTGCTCCCACCGAGCCTACCACCAGCCATGGTAGCAGCTTCGGCACCAGACCAGACCAGGCTCGGGGCAACTTGGTTCGGAAGGCGAGGGATGAGAGAGGGATTGGTGGAGGGAGAGAAAACGGAGAAGGGTGATTCTGCAGGCAAGGGAACAGTGCATGAGGAGAGAGGAGGGAGAGGAGGAAAAGGAGGGGAAGAATGATCGCTGCTGCTGCTGTTGGTGGGTTGATAGAGTGTGAATGTGACAGTAATGAGAGGCAGATGTAGGTGAGGGAGAAGGGAGAAGCAGAGGCGCCATGAAGCACCGTTCAACGCCAGCCAGGCATTCGACCAATCGCAGCGCATCTGAAGCCGTCCAGCAGTCAGGGGGACCGCCTGTAGCAGCTGCAGTAGCACCAGCACCAGATCTACCTCCCCTGGATCTACCTGCCACTCCCCCTCACTATCCCTTTTGCCCTTCCCCTTCTGCTCTCTCACTTCTCTCCCACCCTCCTCCCCACCCTCCTCCTCTTCTAATGAGTCAGAATCTGTGCCTGCTGAGTCAGCATCAGGGATGTGAACAAGATGGAGGACTGAATCTGCCAGCTCAGCAGCTGCCTGATCAGCCAACATGGCGAGCATACTCCCTGAAAACTTCTTCTCGTTAGTATCACTCACGTTACTATCACCTCTACCACCGACCGCAGTGGAGTCGTCTCCTTCCTTCCCTTTTTTCTTATTTCCTTTCTTTTTTTTTGAACTAACCTCTGAGGTCATTTGTCCTTCTCTTCCTGCGTGCTCATTGCCTGGAATTGTTAGGTCAGACAGCAGTGAAACCAAGCCGGCCTTGCACCTTTCTGCTAGGGCAGAAGGTGGGCAGGTGGTGGAGAGTTTCAAGCTGCCCTTCACAGCTGCCCGCAGATTAGTCACAAATGACTTGGCCAAAACGTGACGAACATTCTGCGGGCACATGTGGGTGTGGGGGAAAGAAAATGATTGATGTGAAAGATAAAAGGGATGACATACCTTTGGGGGAGGGGATTGCGCGGGACTCAATAATAGTAAGTTTACTTAACAATTATGAGCAGCAGGTAGCAGGGAGAGAAGTTTGGGTGGGCGCGGGGGGAGGGAGGAAGGAGCAGTGATTCGGGTGAGGTGAGGGGATGCGTGAGAAAGATGGAATGGAAGCAGTGCATTCAACAGAAGCACGTATCCCAACCAGACGCCACTCGCCACTCACCTGATCTAGAACACGGAATTCCGCAGCGCCGCCAGAGCCGCCACAGCCGTCCCTCTCAAACCACCAGAGGGCAGCGGGGACGATTTTGAGGCGCCTCAAAAACGACCTCAAAGCCGCCACAGCCGTCCCTCTCAAACCACCAGAGGGGCAGCGGGGGATCCAGAGAGGGAGAGCAGAGGAGGCAGCAAGGGAGGACAGAGGGGACCCATCAAACCAGACGCCACTCACCTCAATCTCGAAGAACACAGGATTCCGTAGCGCCGCCACAGCCCTCCCTTCTGCACCCCCCGCCACCTCCTTAACACCTCCTGCACCACCAAGCACCTCCCTAGCAGCGAGGGCGAGCAGCAGCAGCACAAACTCCCTCACGGCGGGGCGAGGGGCAGCGGGATCCAGAGGGGGAGAGCGGAGGAAGCAGCAAGGGAGAGGTACGCCGCGTTGAGATCCCCGCCGCTGATGCTGCCCACTGTTCCGTCCCACTGCCTCCCCCTCCTGCTCCGATACCTATCGCTTCCCTCGTGCTTTTCCTCCTTCCTTCCTGCTCCGGCGTCCCCTTTCCCGCCTGTTTCTCTCCCCATCACCACCCACCGGCTCCGCCCCTCTCCCGCCCCCACACACCCGAACGACAGCTCATGGGCAACAGCAGCAGCCAGCGCACCAACACCACTCCCCACCGCTCCATCTTCCCCCACACCCCGCGCTCCCTCTGCTCCTCCCCGCTTCACCTTCTTCCTCCCCTTCCCCGCCTCTGCTGCTGCCTCCGTCTCTCCCCACAGTCCGCCACTCTTACCACCCGCACTGCTCGCACCCAGAGGCAGCACCGGGGAGAGGGAGGAGAGGGCAGTGGTAGCAGCAGAGAGGGTCAGGAAGCGCAGCCGAAGCAGCTCTCTGCTTTCCTCCCCTTGCTGATCCTCTTCGTCCTGCTGCTGCTCTTGTTCCTCCTCTGCCTTTCCATTCATCACTCGGTTCAGCCAGCCAATCACAAACCGCCATCTGGAAGCAGGCTGCTCCAAAGCAGCAGCTCCAGCAACCTCCCCTGCCGAACCTGTCCCTGCCGAACCTAACTCTGCCGAGCCAGTTTCTGACGAGCCTGGCACGCTTACAGCAGGATCGAGCGGGAGCGGGAACGAGAGGCTGAAGCGGTGGCCCATTTTGGACTCTTCTGAGGGAGGTGCATTGTACAGACACCGCAGGTGCAGCTCATGGGCAGCCAGAAACATTTCAAGGCCTGCCCCGATGCTTGCTGCCGCACGGCGAACAAGGGTAAGAGCAAGGTCGGCAGTAGAGTCCTTCCCATTCCCATTCCCCATCCATCCAATTGGTTCTTGCCAGCACAGCAGCCACCCACTTGCCCAACACAGACCGCCCAAGGGACTGCACTAGACGACAGACGTTGCCGTCCACCTGGATGGCGGTTCCCAGTGCAACAGGCAGGCTGCGGAGCACTGTAGCAACGAAGCTGGAAGCCGCCCAGGTGAGCCTATCCTGTGCTCCCTGCATCTGATTTTTCACCTGAGAAACCACCTGGTCAGCCTTCCCCTTCTTTGCCTTCCTCCCCTTCTGTTTCTCCTCCTCGCCCCATCCCACACCCTCCATTTCCTCTTTCTTTCTCCCTCCCTCAGTGTCACCCTCCCAACCAACCACCAGCATAACCTGCTCCTCCCCGAAGCTAAGCAGCAGGCTCGGCACCTGGCCTGGAGGGACCGCAGCAGCAGCCTCCCGGACCACCGAGAGGAGGTCAGGCGACGACAGGAGCGCCGCAGATGCTGCCACTGCTGCAGGCGATTCCGATGCTACCAGGGAGGGCAGGGTAGAAGGTAGCGAGAGAAGAGGTCGCCTGGAGCCAAGGGTGGAAGAGAGAATGGCTCGGATGGCCAGCACTAGCTGTATATGCGCACAGAGGGATGTGCCGTGCCAGAACAGCACAAGAGAACAGGGACAGGGACAGGGAAGAGCAGGGCCAGACAGGGCAGGGCGTGAAGAGGTTGGGTGGAGGATAAAACGGCTAATAGGACCAGCAGCAGCTGCTTAGGGAGAGAGGGATGAGTAGCGACAAACCACACACAGGGTGGGTCGGGATGAACAAGGCAAATCAAAATGTACGGGGTGTTGCGTGTCTCACACACATGCACGCCTGCTTGCTTGCACACATGCACACGCACACACACACGCACGCATGCACGCACACATACACACACACACACACACACACCTGTCGCATATCTTTCCACGTCACCACCAGCTGACTGGCAATCTTGACTGCCGCCACCCACACTGCCGCCCACCCTGCCGCCCGCTGCTCCTCCAACATCCGCTTGTTACCACCTGCATCAAACCCTTCCGATCGTGCCTTCTCGCACGCAGTGCAAGCCCCAATCACAAGCTGCCACGTGGCGTCATGCAGGCCATCCACGAGCACCACCACCCTAGGCTCCAGCCGAACCAGCCCCAAAGCAGCTGGAGAATCTCGGCCCAAACCTGAGCTGCTGCTGCGTCCCCTTGGTGCCTCCCATCACCATCACCGCTAGCACCGGCGACAGCAGAAGCAGTAGCACCTATCCCAGGCTTCTGTACAACGTCCCACATGCGCCACGCACTGCCCACCTCCCCTGCCAGCCCAGCCAAGTGCAAACAGCAGACCCAGTCTCGTCGCCCCTCCCTCTCCCCCTGCTCCTGCTTCTACTCCTACCCTCCTTCCTCTGCTTCGTCCGCTGCTGGTGTGGCCGCGGCTGCTGCCAATGCTGCTGTCGCTCACGTCTGACAGCCCATCGTAGATACCCTCCTCTATGGCAGCGTCCACCATTGCCCTTGTGCCACGTAGCACAGCTGCCAGGCTGGCAGGATCCGCAGCACTGCTTGCTGCCGACTGGTTACCACCTCGGCTTGCTTTGCCTTGGTGCTGCTGCTGCTGCTTTCGGTGCTGCTGGGACCACTGGTGCTTGTGGGTGGTGGTGGTGGTGGTGCTGCTGCTGCTGCTGCTGCTGCTGCTGCTGCTGCTGCTGCCTGCTGCTGCTGCTGCTGCTGCTGCTGCTGCTGCTGCTGCTGCTGGTGCTGCTGCTGCTCTGCCTGCGCGCCCCCCCTGTGTGAGCGCCACCACTTGGCCTCGCAGTTCGCCCTATCAGCGGCCTCAGCAGATGCGCAAAAAGATTGAACGCGACTGCAACAGCTGAGACACTTCCGGATCATCTGCACCCAATACTCCTCCCATACCTCCTCCCTGCCCTCCCCCTCCTCCTCCTCCTCCTCCTCCTCCTCCTCCTCCTCCTCCTCCCTCCTCCTCCTCCTCCTCCTCCTCCTCCTCCTCCCTCCTCCCCCCCTCCTCCTCCTCCTCCTCTCCCTCCCCCCCACTTCCACACCCCTTTCCCCTGCCTTCTCCTCTCCTTCTCCCTCCCCTCCATCCCTATCACCACTCACCCCTCCTTTCCCCCCTGAACTGCTGCTTTTCTCCTCTTCCCCCTCCCTCCCACCTCGCCTACTCTCTCTCTTGCAATTTCCACCACACTCCGGGAGTAAATCCCAAACATCCACCCAAGGCTGTGCAGGATCGGCACGTTCCCGGACCTGATCCCAGCCTCGAGAAACGCCAGGAACTGCCGGGTGGTAGCTGCCGAACCTGCCTTCCTCCCCCAAACCTTCCACATCTCCATCACCCTCACCCTCACCCTCTGCCGCCCCCCCAACATTCCCTCCCTTCCGTCCATGTCTTGACTCCCCAGGTGTTTTCTCAGGTGTTCCTCTGTTGCATGTTCTCTGCCCACCCATTCCCCCAACCTACCACCACCACCACCACCCACACCAGCAGCCACTAGCAGTAGCTATACCCGCGCACTGGGACACATACCCCTCTGCATGCACGCGTCCAAACAACGCCTCCTTCACAATCACGTCCATTGCAGATAAGACTAAACCCACCGTGTCCTCCCCCAACTCTCCTCCCCCCTTCCCCAGCCGCCCCTGACCCTGAACGAGGTGTGTCCTTAGCTGCAGCACAAGGGGCAGCAGGCGAGAGAGCACAGCAACAAACACCTTCTTGCCCTGCGGGTGGCTTGATGCGAACACACCAAACCCATGCAGACACACACTGCACACCCGCCCCCACTCGTCCGCTGCTCCTGCTGCCGCTGATGCTGATGCTGGTGATGCTGCTTTTTACGGATGATTCATTATTGCCTCCGAGCCATAGCAGGCTCTGAAGAAGCTGCAGGGAGGCTCGGACCAGACCGACCCAGTGCTCCAGGCTCGGATGGAACGCCACTGGGCTTGACGCTTTGAACCCACGCCTGGCGCTCCCAGAGATTTCAGATCCGACGCGCCGAGCCTGCCTGTCAGGCTCGGCATCAAGAGAACAGTGAGCAGGGCGTGAAGGCTCCGTCCTATAGATGGCACTTCCCCTGCTGCCGCTGCTGCTGCTGCTGCTGCTGCCGGTGCTGGTGCTGCTTGTCCTGATTTATTCAGAATTCTGTGAAGGGCATTGTCTTGAGTCATTGCAGAGAGCAGCGCCGTGATTGCTGGAAGAGGTTGGACGAGACGACCAGCCAACCAGGATGGTGCTGCAGCAGCGAGAGAGACGCAGACAGAACGAACCAATAGCGTGCATCCATGAGAGCAGGGGCCGAATCTCCGTCCCTCCCCTTCCCCGCATCCCCCCTTACCTTCCCCATCGCCTTCTACTTTCCCTCCCCCTATCCCTTCCCCCTCCGCTTTGCCTCCCGCCTGATTCTTCCGCCTCTTTTCCCCCTTCTCCCCAGCAAGCTTCTCTGCCGAGCCTGGCGTTCCCGAGCCAGGCCTGGCTCGTTTGGAGCCCGAGCCAGCGCCAGCAGGTCCGGGGCGGATGGATCGGAGGAGGGACAGCTGCGCGAACTCGAAAACGGCGCGCAGTGCGTGTAGGCGCGCCTAGGGAACCCCATTCCCCCCACATGCCCGCAGATTCCGCGGGGGACCGGAAGCCTTGCTCCCCTGCCAATCCTTCCGCAGGAGCGTTATCCCCGTCGGTGGTAACTGTTTTTACCAGCGATCTTCTTGCTCTTCTTCTTTCGCTTGCGGCTGTGGCTTCCGCATCAATGGGTTCCTCAGCGGTTGTGACACCAGGAGGTGGGTGTTTTCCATTTTCGCCCTGTGCGACCTGCTGCGATTGCTGACCGGACCGTGCCACGTGGCGATTCCTACTCATCCTCCACGAAATATTGAAGGAGATTGATCGCGCACGAGAGCACTCTGCGAGGCGGTTTAAGAATGACAGGGGTTAGGGTGTAACAGGATTAAGATTCCGGGTTTAGTAACAGCATTATGGAAGTGACGGAACGTCAACGCGGACTACATAACGTACCTTTCCGGCGGTTCTCTTCTGGACACGGCGATTTGGGCAACGGCCAAAGGCGACAGCACCGCGTCAGGTGCCGCCATTTTACCTTGAAGGGCTGTTCAGCAACCACACTCTAACCAGGTAAACTTGGTTGGGTTATGGGGCTATCATAGGCACTCGATTCACGCATATTCGGACTAAGTATTCATCGTGTCCGAAGTAGAATAACACGAGACTTATGCATGTTGACAATGTCCTGAAAATACTATTATTTCTTAATCGAATGTAAAAGAGTTATTCAATCAAGATTTTTTTTTCAACGAACACCACATAACATATAGTTTTTTTTTTGCGGTTTCAATCTCTGATGGATGTCATACCAGATCAATATAATATAGCTGATATTTTTTAGAGTGTTTTTGAAGTGCGAGTTCCAAGCATTCGGATTGGCCTGGCTCTGACACGCCCCGCCAATTTCAAGGTGTGATGTTGTAGAAAGCGCGGGAACCCAATCCAGCAACCCAATCTACTCTCAGGGTCACATGACCACATGCCAGCAGAACCTGCTTGGGTTCATCACGCCCGTCCATCTGCCGTTCGTGTTTTCGACTCACCGTGCTCTGTCTTCTCTTCGTCTTCCATATCTGCACGAAATATTTCCGCGATAAAGCTCTTTCGTGGCTTCATTTCTACTATCACGGACTAGGCAACACGGATCGGTTGTTATTGTCAGGCAATACCCTTGGATCCGTTCCAGCTACAAGGTGGTAAAGTCTGCATCTTTGTATCGTGGTGGCATCAGTCGTGGATGCTGCTCATTCTTCGTCAGATCAAATAACCCGACAGCTATCTTACCACTGACCAAAAACAATACACACACCATTTTTTTTCGAGCGTTTCTTCACGCGTATATTAGTTTACCCAGCAACCGGTTTGGTTAGACAGACATGTCGATCTCAGAGGAGCTAGCAGCGTCGCTGGGAGTGGCTCCCTCCCTGATCACCCTCCTGCTCTGCCTCTTCTCGTCCATCCCCGCGGCTCTGGTCGTGCGCTTCCTCCCGGGTCCCACATTGAAGCATCACTACAGCATTGCTGCCGGAGGGGCTCTCTGCTGGGTGGCGTATGGCGGCCTTCACGGCAAGTGTGATGCCTGTCATTGCTAGCAGCATACGCTCGTCCCGTTTCAGTGGTTCTCGTTGCAAGTGACAGGAATGCATTCAGCTAGTCGGTTTTGCAACGTTCCAGTTGCTGACATTCCCTTCCACAGGCCAGCTAGACCGCCAGCAGTCTGTTATCTGCAATCTCGCATTTTGCTTCACTGATCGAAATCGCCACTCCATCGCGTGCTTTCGCCAATGCAGCGAGCCTCAATTTCTGGGGCCTAACCCTCGCGTCGTACGCGCTCATGCTCGCCCTTCCTCGCAAGTGGAGCGGTTATGGCGTGCTCTTCGGCTCCTTCACCTACCTCACCTACTGGTATGCCTCCACCCTTTTTTTTTCTTAATCTCTTAGTTTTATATTTTGTTCCCGTCCCAATGTCACATCGTAAGATTCACATCAAGGTTTTGTTGAAGAAAACATTCTTTCTTATCTCGTGCTTTCCAACCTCTCATGGGGCGCTAGTTCTGCCTGAACTCAGCAACCACATGAACTGCCTGGGAACACATATTTTAGGCTCTCAAGAACAGGCACTTTCTTGCGTGAACCAGAAAGGTACACGAGCATTCTGCGAGCGGACTTGTGGAGGTCGATTCGCTTTGAAACGTCTCAACCAAATGGGCTTTGGAATCTGTGACTGCGCATTTCTTGCATGAACCCTTCAGTCACATAAGCAACCTGGGAGCGGACGTGTGGAGGCAGGGAGGCGTGGACTTCACGGGCACGCTCATGGTGTTCACGCTTAAGATCTCTGGGTGCGCCATGGACTACCAGGACGGCGCGCTGCCGGAGGACAAGGTATTGTCTGCGGTGATAACAAGGTAACACGGTAGTGTGGTACATGATATTATGGTAACAAGGCTGGACGCTCATGGTGTTCACGCTCAAGATCTCTGGCTGTGCCATGGACTACCAGGAAGGCGCACTGCCAGAGGACAAGGTATGCTCTGCCGTGGTAACAAGGTAGCACGATAGTGTGGTAAATGATAACATGGTAACAAGGCTGGACGCTCATGGTGTTCACGCTCAAGATCTCTGGCTGTGCCATGGAGCGCACTGCCAGAGGACAAGGTATGCTCTGCGGTGGTAACAAGGTAACAGGCTGGCGCGCCCATGGTGTTCACGCTCAAGATCGCCGGCTGTGACATGGACTAGTACAATGACGGCGCACTGCCGGACGACAGGGTATGCTCCGCGATGGTTGTTACAAGGTAACCCAGTAAGACGGCTGGAAATGCTCATGGTGTTTGTGCTGGAGGATTGAGGCTGAACCGTGATTACCAGGATGGCGCGCTGCCAAAGGATAAGGTAGTTCGCAATCATTGTAACAAGGTAACAGGCTGGCGCGCCACTTTCGGGACATGCAACAGTCCACCCACATTCTTCCCCCTTCCCCTTCTCCCTCCCCCAGGCGCAGCACCGCATGTACAGCAACAGGCTGGCGCGGCTGCCGTCGGTGGTGGAGTTTTTGTCGTTCGTGTTCTTCCCAGGCGCCGCCCTCGTGGGACCCGTGTTCAACCTGAAGCAGTACCAGGCGTATGCTGCCGGGCAAGGGGTGAGTTTGAGCTGCCTTGGAAGGGGCCTTCATGCACTACCAGGTGTATGTTCCCGGACAAGGGGTGAGTGCAGGAGAAGGGAGAGATGAAGTGAGGGCGTTGTGTGTTCTTCCCAAACGCCTTACTGGTGGGACCCGTGTTCAACTTGAAGCAGCAGTACCAGGCGTACGCCGCTAGGCAAGGGGTGAGTGCGGTGAAAGGGGGAGAAGAAGTGAGAATGTTCTGTGTTCTTCCCCGTCGCTGTGCTGGTGGGACCCGTGTGCAACTGCAAGCAGTACCAGTCGTACGCCCCTGGGCAAGGGGTGAGTGCCGGGGGGGGGGGAGAGAGAGGAAATGAAGGGAGAAGGAAGACGTGAGACGACTCAATGGCGCCATGCTGGTGGGGCCCGTGTTTAACTGCAAGAAGTACCAGGCATATGCTGCCGAGTGATGGGAGGGAGGAGACGAGGTGGGGGTGTTGTGTGATCTTCCCTGGCGCTGTGCTGGTGGGGTCCGTGTATAACCTGAAGCAGAACCAGACGTACGCCACTGCGTAAGGGGTGAGTGCAGGGAGGGTGGAGGGAGGAAGTGAGTGTGCTGGAGTGGTGTTTGAGTCGAACGGCCATATGCACGCTGCCCTATCCCCTCTGTTCACTCGCGCCCTTCTGCCCTGTGCCACTGTACCTGCAACCCTGTGTGCGACCGTGCCTCCCCCAGCTATGGTCGCCATCTGGAGCCGTGGTGCCAAGCAAGGCAGCTGATACCAGCAAGGGGGAGGAGGGGAAGCTGACGCAGAACGGGAACGGGGAGGCGGACAGGGCGCAGGGCGAGAGCAAGGGCGAGGGGAAGGGCGAGGGGAAGGGCGAGGGGAAGGGCGAGGGGAAGCTGCGAAAGATGCCGGAGCCGCTGCCGTATGCAGCACAGGCGCTGGGGAAGGCGATCATCTGCCTGGCGATGCACCACTTCCTCTCTCAGCACTTCGGCCCCGCCCTGCTCTTCCAGCCCCGCTTCCTCACCTACAATTTTGCATACAAGTGAGTGTGTGTAGGGCTAAGCAGCGTTTGCAGCACTAGCGGCCTGGCAGCATCAGCAGCGTCAGCCTTCGGATGATATTTGCTTGCCACAGACTCTGCCACTGCCATACGCAGCGCAGGCGGGGTGAAGAAGTGGAGTTCCCGATTCCCGTCTGTTCCTGATTCCCTGCCGCCCCTCCTCTTCCTTCTCCCACATCCCTTCGTACAAAATCCCCACCTCCTTTCCCTCACATCACAGGTGGGGCCACCTGGTAAGGGCGAGTATCTGCTTCCGATGCTCAGGTCAGGTGGCTTATGAGTTGACTGGGAAATCCTCGTCCATCTCCCTCACATCACATCACATCACATCACAGGTGGGGCTGCCTGGTGATGACGGGTATCTGCTTCCCCTGCTCCTGCTACTTCATCTCTGCGCTTCTCCCACCCACCCTTACCCACCCTTCTCTCCTACGTCTCCTGGTCCCAACCCCCTCTGCCCCACAGGTGGTTCTGCTTGGTGGTGGCGGGCATCTGCTTCCGCTGCTCCTACTACTTCATCTCTTCACACCCGTTCCCACCTGTCTCTCTGTACCCCGTCCCCTTGTTCTGATCCGCACTGCATCCCACAGGTGGTTCTGCCTGGTGGTGGCGGGCATCTGCTTCCGCTGCTCCTACTACTTCATCTGGAGTGTGGCAGAGGCTGCTGTGATCCTCTCTGGATTCGGCTTCTCCGGCTGGACCGACTCCTCACGTCCAGACTGGTGAGTTCCAAGATCTCATTATAAAATCCACTTGGAAAGTGGTAGAGGGTGCTGTTACTCTTTCTGCATCCCACTTCTCCGGTTGGACCGACTCCTCCCCCTCGCGCCCCAACTGGTGAGTTCCGAGATCGCATTATAGAATCCACTAGGAAAGTGGTAGAGGCTGCTTTTGCTCTTTCTGGATTCGGCTTCTCCGGCTGGACCGACTCGTTCTCCAGTCGACTCGATAAGTGTTTGAGATGTGGTTGAGGGTGCTGCTTGAAAATGTTTAAAACCTATGTGGTCGAGGGTTTTTCTTCAGAATATTAAAAACCGATGTGGTTGAGGGTGCTTCTTGAGAGTATTTAAAGCCCACTCGGACTGACTCCTTCGCCTCGCTCCCATGATTACATTTGCTGTTTTCTCTGGTGAATTAGCTAAGTGTTTCATCGCGTTGGCCAATTTCTGATGCCTGCTCTCGGATGGAAAAAGATGGTCGCATCTCGTATGGCTGTTCATTCTCATTGTTGGTTATTACCATCCCACACCTCGACCTTTCCCATCCACTTGAACGTCTCCACATCTCCCAAACATCATGCCGCCCCACCTTCCACTCCGTCCACCCCCCCACCCTCCAGGAGCCGGGCGGAGAACGCCAATTTCATCAAGTGTGAGATCACCGCGAGCCTACCACGTTGATGTGTCTCTCGATCCACCTGACAGCTCTCACATATCTTGACCGTCCTCCCCAACCCCTCCCTTCCGGCCACTCCCCATCCCTCCAGGAGCCGGGCAGAGAATGCAAATTTCATCAAGTGTGAGATCACCACGAGTCTGGCGCAGATGCCTGCCTACTGGAACATGGGCGTCGGCACGTGGCTCCGCACCTGTGTGTGGGTTCTCTGGGTTGAGATTAGGGGAGTCTTCCTTGGGCTTAGATTAGATTTGCGCGTTTGGGCTTAGAGTTGCGCGTTTGGGCTGCATGCCTACTGGAACATGGGCGTCAGCACGTGGCTGCAAACATTCAGAGATCACGTGCTCTTAGGTTTAGGATTTCGGATGTAGGATGTCCGTGGGACTTTGGGGTTGAGTGCATGGGAATGGGAGCGCGCAGTGATGGGTAGGTGAGAACACGAAGGTGAAAGCAGGAAAGGAGGTCCTTTCCCTTCCCTCCCCCTTCTCTCCACCTCCCCTCCCCACCCACCTCCCCCGGTCTTCCCCCCCACTCTCTCCACCTCCCCCTTCAGACGTGTACGACCGGGTGACACCTCGCTCGGGCAAGCCCACCATGTGGACGCTCGTTTTCACTCAAGTCGTCTCCGCGCTCTGGCATGTGAGTCGTCTCCGCGCTCTGGCAAGTGAGTCGTCTCTGCGCTCTGGCATGTGAGTCGTCTCACGATGTTTGTTGAGTTGACTCTAGAGCTCTTCTCCCCACTTACTGGGCCTTCATTGTCAACCTGCCTGTTGCTTGAATCCTCGCCTGTTTGAGCCGGCTCTAGAACAGCTCGTCCCACAATCAGCACCTTGATTACCATCTCTTTCTCTCTTCCACAGTCTGTCAGCGCTGCCATAAGCTCTCCAGACCCACCGCATTCCACTCCCTCGTGTTCCACTCCCTCCTCTTCTGCACAATCTGCACCCCATTTCTCTTTGTCACTGTCAGCACTACCATCGGCTGGTTTAGTCCTACCGCACTCCACCCCTTGTACCCATACACCTTTCGCCCCCCTCCGTCTCCTTGCAGGGTCTTCACCCAGGCTACTACCTCTTCTTTTTCAATGCCGCCATCGGCTCGTCAGTCCCGCATCCCCCATCCAAACCTCATCCCCCATCCAACCTCATCCATCCCTTCTTCCGCCACTCTCCCTCCCCTCCCAGGGTCTTCACCCCGGCTACTACCTCTTCTTTGTCAACGCCGCCATCGGCCAACACGCCTCCAAGCGTACGTCTCCTAACTGCCTGTGTCTCTGCCACTGGAAGATTCTCGTGCCTTGCCTTTTACTCTCTGCGCTGCTTAGAGGGCTCTAGGGTTTCCCCCTGTTGTCTCCTCTAAGTAGCATCCAGCTTCATGACCTTGTTGGGAATCCTCACTCGCTCTTTTCTCGCTCCAACTATTTTAACCTAACGCACGTCCCTTGCACGCCCCCTCGTGTGTCTCCTTGTGGCATGGAATGGCATGTTGTTGCATGGCATGGCATGGCGCGGCACGTAACACCGCAGAGGTGTTCCGGCACACGGCAGCAGCGTTCCCGAAGCAGTCAGCAGCAGTGAAGGTCACCATTGACGTGGTGCAGGCCGTGTTCAAGCAGCTCATCATCAACTACTCCAATGCTGGCTTCCTGGTGAGCAAAGGACGAAGGGCAAGTGAAAGTGAAAGGGAAAGGGAAAGGTAAGGTACGTCATGCCTGCCTTCCCCGTGTTCAAGCAGCTCATCGTGAACCACTTCTTTGCTGGCGTCCTTGTATGTCTGCCATCTGGCCTCCTGGTAGGACTTTCACCTTCATGAAATTGCTTCACCTTCTCGCTTCCTGTGAAACCTTGCTTCCACTGCCTTCCTGTTCTCGTCCCTTCTCCCATCCCTCCTCACCCCATCCGCTCCTTTCCTATCCATGTGTATTCCCCGTCGTTGCATTGACTTTCCCCCCAGGTGCTGCAAGTTTTGCATTCTCCCCTTCCTCGCCCCATTCATCCGCTCCCAGTTCCGTGAACTCAGATATCGGTGTCCCTTCATTGCCTTCATTGCCTCCACACCCCCCAGGTGCTGCAATGGGGGCAGACCATAGCGGTGTGGCGGTCGCTCTTCTTTATGGGCACCGTCGTCCCCATTCTTCTCAACGTGCTGCTGTCCATCATTCCCACTCGCTCCCGACGCCACAAGAAGGTCGAATAATCTTCGATCGAATTCGGCCGCTGCTCCATTCGCGCCCTTGCGTTTTTGGCGCCACAAAATGGTCTCATGATGTCCAAATTGGTATGTTTCGCAATTTGGCGTGCGCTTTTGTATGGTTCTGAGCATTCATTGAACACTAGGCGCCCCCGATCTCCTGTAGCGGCACATAATCGGAGGGATATAAGGGCGTTGTAATTACCTTGTTCAAGATGATTCGCTTTGCGGTCATGTTCGCCTTCTCGTAAAATGAGGTCGATGTTTATCATGTGTCAGTGTAGGTAGGGGCGTATTCTCTCGAAGTATGGCACAGCTGCATGATGTGCACAAGCAGCGATGGGGATACAAATACCGTACCAAACCTAA